ATCGGGTGGTCAGGGTCGCTGACTTGGTTGATACATGTCATCGATCCCCATTGCGTGAATCGATGCTCATGATTTCAATCACTGGATTTTCTGGTCCAGACTCGATCATTTACAGACCACCGTCATATAGCTGGAATATTGCTGAATGCGGCGTTAAACAGCCAACCAAACAACCAACCAACCTAACAATGCCACTCAAATATAACGTGTCCTTCCAGAGCCTGAATAGACACAGGTGGTTGTCTGTGAGACGGAAATCCATAATGACTTGGCTGTCGTGTACAAGGCACACAGCACCTGTTAAACACGCAATTACGTCGACGAGATTTACTTATTCTGTAATGTGACGTTGTCATAACAGTCACGCAAAACCAATGTGCCCGAATGCATCTGGGTCAGCGTTAGAGGAACTATCAAAACAAGTCAGTGTTTGTAGTTAATTTAGCGCGTTCATCCCCTTGTCCAGAAATGGTTTATAGGGATCAGGACACTGGTCACTAAAGCCCCTTGTAATGATGGGACGTGGTTGAAGTGCCTGCTTCACACCATGTCTCGCCAACCCTTTCATGCTTGCTCTGAAGTTAAGGTCAACGCACAGCCACTTCCGAGTCTCGTAGCAAACAAACTGCCGGTGTAGTAGGCTCAAACGACTCCCGCTAAATTTGACTGTAGTCATATGGGCCTTGGCTCACACGACTCCCCTAGCCAGGCTATAATCACTCCCTCTAGGGTCAGCTAACTTCCCTACTGGTTGATGATGGCAGAGATCACATTATATGGTCTCTGATGGTGGGTACAAGTGTAACAAACATGAAATGGTTATTCGAGGTGATGTATTTCATACGGGGGTCCTAGTTGTGTTCTGGGCCCCGTTCGTCAAAGCGATCTTAGCGCTACGCTGATCGTAAGCCTATGTTAAAGTATGAGACTTACGATCACCTTAGCGCTAAGATTGCTTTGAGGAACGGGGCCCTTGTCCTCAGGTTTGCAGTGTTTCGGCGACTGTTTTCAGCCTGGAACAAGGTTTGATAGCGTTTGTAACAAACATGAAATGGTTATTCGTTGGTGATGTATTTGATACAGGGGTCATAGTTGTATTCTGGGCCGCAGGTTTGCATTGTTTCGGCGACTGTTGATCCCTTTTTGTAGGACTACATGTCGTGGCTAGATCCCTCTTTGTAAGGCTACATATGGATAGATCCCTCTTTGTAAGGCTACATATGGATAGATCCCTCTGTGAGACTACATGTCGTGGCTAGATCCCTCTCTGTAACCACATATGGATAGATCCCTCTTTGTAAGGCTACATATGGATAGATCCCTCTTTGTAAGGCTACATGTGGATAGATCCCTCTGTGAGACTACATGTCGTGGATAGATCCCTCTTTGTAAGGCTACATATGGATATATCCCTCTTTGTAAGGCTACATATGGATAGATCCCTCTTTGTAAGGCTACATATGGGTAGATCCCTCTTTGTAAGGCTACATATAGATAGATCCCTCTTTGTAAGGCTACATATGGATATATCCCTCTTTGTAAGGCTACATATGAATAGATCCCTCTTTGTAAGGCTACATATGGATAGATCCCTCTTTGTAAGGCTACATGTGGATAGATCCCTCTGTGCGACTACATGTCGTGGCTTGATCCCTCTTTGTAAGGCTACATATGGATAGATCCCTCTTTGTAAGGCTACATATGGATAGATCCCTCTTTGTAAGGCTACATGTCGTGGGGAGAGCCCTCTATGTAAGACTACATATGGATAGATCCCTCTTTGTAAGGCTATATGTCGTGGATAGATCCCTCTTTGTAAGGCTACATGTCGTGGATAGATCCCTCTGTGTAAGACTACATGTCGTGGATAGATCCCTCTTTGTAAGACTACATGTCGTGGATAGATCCCTCTTTGAAAGACTACATGTCGTGGATAGATCCCTCTTTGTAAGGCTACATGTCGTGGATAGATCCCTCTTTATAAGGCTACATGTCGTGGATAGATCCCTCTGTGTAAGACTACATGTCGTGGATAGATCCCTCTTTGTAAGACTACATGTCGTGGCTAGATCCCTCTTTGTAAGGCTACATATGGATAGATCCCTCTTTGTAAGGCTACATATGGATAGATCCCTCTTTGTAAGGCTACATGTGGAAAGATCCCTCTGTGAGACTACATGTCGTGGCTAGATCCCTCTTGGTAAGGCTACATATGGATAGATCCCTCTTTGTAAGGCTACATGTGGATAGATCCCTCTGTGAGACTACATGTCGTGGGTAGATCCCTCTATGTAAGACTACATATGGATAGATCCCTCTGTGTAAGGCTACTTGTCGTGGATAGATCCCTCTTTGTAAGGCTACATGTCGTGGATAGATCCCTCTTTGTAAGGCTACATGTCGTGGATAGATCCCTCTGTGTAAGGCTACATGTCGTGGATAGATCCCTCTATGTAAGACTACATGTCGTGGATAGATCCCTCTTTGTAAGACTACATGTCGTGGATAGATCCCTCTGTGTAAGACTACATGTCGTGGCTGATTATTCATCTTATATGTTGGAGATAAACAAACTGTGTTTTTAATGTAGAGCTTGTTAACTGTAGATTTAACCACTAAATTTAACATTTGAAACCTCGCGCTGCGTTAAATTGAATTTGGAACCAAACGCACAGCGTGAAGTTTCAAATGTTAAATTTAGCGGTTAAATCTACAAGTAACCTGGCTCTACATTGAAAACACAACATTTTTATCTCCATTCTTTCATGACTAAATAAAACGCGAACGCTTTGATGTCAGCGGATATATTGAGTGACGGGGAGTCCAGTGTTTTGAGTGGGTTTTCGATCTGAATAACGGAGTAGGGCTTTATATGCTCAAACAGAAATACTTCACTAGATCACATGTCAGACAATGAAAGCATGTACCAGAGCAACTTCGTAAGCTAACATGAGGTAGGCACCCCTGAAGACAGCTAAACAATCCTTGCAAAAGGTTCGTTCCAGATATAACGTCACAGTCGTATGTAGAAAAGCGCCAACTTCCAAGCTCTGTGTTGTCCTTTGTAGATTTCTATCGTGTTTTCTACACAAAATGCATTGCCACACATCCTTTGACTATCTTAGTCACTAAAACTTTGCATTTTGTAACCTATAATTGCACGTCAAATGTGCCTATCAACAAAGACTGATAAAGCAGCACTATTCCATAAGTATTAGCTTCCGCAGTGATGCGGCCGTTAAATTAGCTGTTTCAGTCAGAGGGGGTTTATTGTGATTTGAAAACCTCTGATTGATCAGTCATAAACGAGTATTTTTCATATTCATGGTAAAATATATTTTTGAACTTGTCTCTTAGTGTCGTCACTCCCTAAAAAACAAATATAACATGTACTGTACGCGCCATAATACTGTAACATCCACTGTACGCACTATTATACCGTAACAGGCACTGTACGGACCATTATACTGTAACAAGGTATTGAACGCACCATTATACTGTAACAGGCACTGTACGCACCATTATACTGTAACATGCACTCTACGCAACGTTATACTGTAACAGGCACTGTACGCACCATTATACTGTATACGTAACATGCACTGTACAGACCATTATACCGTTACAGGCACTGTACATACCATTATACTGTAACGTGCACTGTACAGACCATTATACCGTAACAGGTACTGTACGCACCATTATACTGTAACAGGCACTGTACGCACCTTAATACTGTAACAGGCACTGTACGGACCATTATACTGTAACATGCACTCTACGCAACGTTATACTGTAACAGGCACTGTACGCACCATTATACTGTATACGTAACATGCACTGTACAGACCATTATACCGTTACAGGCACTGTACATACCATTATACTGTAACGTGCACTGTACAGACCATTATACCGTAACAGGTACTGTACGCACCATTATACTGTAACAGGCACTGTACGCACCTTAATACTGTAACAGGCACTGTACGGACCATTATACTGTAACAGGTACTGAACGCACCATTATACTGTAACGTGCATTGCACAGACCATTATATTGTAACAGGTACTGTACGCACCATTATACTGTAACAGGCACTGTACGCACCATTATACTGTAACATGCACATCGGGTACCATTATACTGTAACAGACACCGTACGCACCATTTTACCGTAACATGCTCTGTACAGACTATTTTATCGTAAACTCCACTGTACGCACCATTATACTGCAACATGCTCTGTACGCACCATTATACTGCAACATGCTCTGTACGCACCATTATACTGCAACATGCTCTGTACGCACCATTATACTGCAACATGCTCAGTACGCACCATTATACTGCAACATGCATTGTGCCATGCGCTGTACGCACCATTATACTGCAACATGCTCTGTACGCACCATTATACTGCAACATGCTCTGTACGCACCATTATACTGCAACATGCTCTGTACGCACTATTATACTGTAACATGCATTGTAACATGCACTGTACGCACCATTATACTGTAACATGCATTGTAACATGCACTGTACGCACCGTAGCACTGTAATATGTTGTGGAAATTATGCGGGAATGTATGTGCATCTGCTGTAGTCTTGTCACTATCTCTCAAATAACGGCCGCTCATGAAACCAAGTCGGATTTCTTGCAAAATAATGGTTACAAGAAGTAATATCCCCATACATTAGGTGTAATTCAAATATGTTCTATGCATATAGATATAGTCATACAAACCGTCGGGCAAAGAAAGTATACACTAATAACTGGATAAAACGTTACTTGACTGAAAACAGTCGCTGAAACACTGCAAACGTGATGTCCTTAAACTCTACTATGACACACGTATGAAATACATCACCATCGAATAACCATTTCCTGTTTGTTTCATTTGTAGCCACCATCAAACATGGGTGTATACTTTATTTTGTATTGCATGTTCTGACGTACTCATTGAACTTGACTGACCATGCTTGTATGTTTCAGAGCGCTGCATGAAACTGCAATATATGGCAAGACGGGTGCCCTTCAGTTTGACATAGATGGCAACTTAAAGACTATCAAATTACGTGTGAGGAATCTTGTGTTCGATGGGAAAAACAACGTGTGGCGGGATATCGGGTGTGTTCAAGGTGACGACATCCGCTCTTTCGGCATCATCTGGCCAGGGGAGGCTAATTTAATCAGTTCCCAACCGCCGGTTAAAAAGAAGTATCGGGTAGTTACCAACCCTGTACAACCCTTCGTTATGCAAGAGAAACCACACGCCGATTACAGCGCATGTCTGACTGATACAACATGTCTGAACATCACCTCCAAGAACAAGTCCATGGCTATGGCTGCCATTGAGGATTATGAGAGGGGGGTCATGAACGAGAATAACACCTACACTGTCCACTGCTGTCGAGGACTGACCATTGACCTCCTCAACAAACTGGCCAGTGATTTGGACTTTGATTTCACTTTGTACATTGTCCAGGACGAAACATACGGGCGGAAGACGAACGGCACTTGGAACGGCATGATGTGGGATCTCGTTGAAGGCACGGCTCATTTTGCCGTTGGGGCTTTCAGTATTACTCGAGCAAGAACAGAAGCGATTGACTTCACAGATCCATACTTCTTCTCCGGTTTTTCCATCTTGTACTCCGAGAGAACACGGGAAACAAACATGGATGCGTTTCTGGAGCCTTTTTCAATTGATGTGTGGTTTGCTATTTTTGTTAGTGCAACGTTGACTGCCATAGCTATGGGTATTTTTGAGTGGAATAGTCCGTTTGGGTTGAACCCTTGGGGACGGAAGAGGAAGGCTAACTATACCTTAGCCTCGGGTCTGACCATGGTGTACTCTGTTTTGTTTGGCCACACGGTGAAGACGAAATCCCCCAAGGCGTGGCCGAGTAAGGTGATGCAGAATTTCTGGGCATTTGCAGCTATCTTCATCATTGCCAGCTACACTGCCAACCTCGCCGCCTTCATCGCGGGCAAACACGCGGGGATACACTACAACGATATCAGCGACGTCAGGGTAAGTTGTCTCCCTTTGGTCAATGCCACCATGATAAACTTATAACAGCAACGCCATGTCATGCTATTTTTTGTTGCCTCATCTCAGCTGGAGACACATTCGCTGCACTGATCCTATTGGCCTGTGAAGATCCGGGGTACAATAGGTCTTCAGCAACCCATGCTTGCCATAAAAGGCGACTATGCTTGTCGTAAGAGGCGACTAACGGGATCAGGTGGTCAGGCTCGCTGACTTGGTTGATGCATGTCATCGTATCCCAATTGCGTAGATAGAAGCTCATGATATCAATCACTGGATTGTCTGGTCCAGGCTCGATTATTTACAGACCGCCGTCATATAGCTGGAATATTGCTGAGTGCGGCGTTAAACAACAAACAAACAAACAAAACTGATCATCAAGTCTGCATGTAAGTTGTCTCCCTTTGGCAAATGCCACCATGATGAACTGATAACAGCAACGCCGTGTCATATTTTTGTTGCCCTCACATTCGCTACAGTTGATACAATATCATATCAGAGTTAAAGGCTCAAGTCTTAATGGGAAACATTTATGGCTTGGCTAATAGTGAGTGAGTTGGGTTTAACGCCGCTTTTAACAGTATTCCACTTATATCGCGGCGTGTCACTTTGTCAGTGGGAGGAAAGCCCGAAGTGATGCAGGTCTGACGTTTACCACTTCGGTGAAACCCACGAGCACGGGTATGGTGTTTACAAACCTAGAAACATAATCGGGGCGAACCGGGATTCGAACCCACAATCATAGGTTTCAGGCATGCCCAAGGGACGCAACTCTGCGCAGCGAATCGTGGCGCCTTAGACGACTGGGCCACCCGTGTCCCCGCTCGGCTAATAAGCTTACACATGCATATATATTGAAGCTGTCAAGACTGGGAGTATAAGGCGATATGTTTGATGTGTGGTCGATGCCCATCACGTCTTATCTGCTTACGTGTACAGTAATTATATCATGTAAAGGGCAACACCACACGATGGGAGATCAGTGTCACTCGTATGTAATTCCCCTAGTGGCATCTCCACGAAACACAGGAAGACGAAGGCACCAGGTGGCAACGCGTTTTCAGTGCAAGACGGAACTGAGCTAGTTGGTGCATTGGCATTGTTTTTGCTTACACCTTTTGGTGAGAAACCCATTTGCGATAACTGTTATAAAACATATGTGTGAGATCGATTTCCAGGTCGTGATTGGCTGCTCCATGGCGATGACCTGAGGTCAAATTATGACGGACTACTTTAGTGATTGTAATTCATTGATAAGTTTCTCGTGCGTCGGTCGAATTCATTTATTCTTGTGTCGACATTTTGTGGTTTTGGAGTTTTAATAAATGTCTTTGATCTTATCTAGTTTCATCATCGCCTTGATGATCCATTTTTTAGGGAATCTTTTTTTTGTGGAGGGTCATTACCCATAGTTGTAAGGTGTAAGCCTGATGACGTCGGTCTTGACCGATGTTAAATGTATTAATGCGCCACTACGATCATTACGCTCTGTAGATACATTTTGAAACAACTTGTAAAATTATTTAGGGAACCTTTTTTTATGGAGGGTCATTAACCATAGTTGTAAGGTGTAAGCCGGATGACGTCGGTCTTGACCGATGTTAAATGTATTAATGCGCCACTACGATCATTAGAACAACGTAATAATCGATTCGATGCTAAAATGGTGCGATTTTAGGGCGTGTAAGAAACAGACTACTGCATTCCTGCCTGTCATATACCATTTATCTTACGCTCTGTAGATACATTTTGAAACAACTTTTAAAATAAATGGCATATGTCAGACACTCGTGTTGTAATCCTTATATCTATACTGCTGTGCTTTTGCATAGGGATACTCCCCAGGGAGCTGAGAATTAAAATCGAGCGCCGACTGATCCATTGACCGGGGTAATAATAAGATAGCGCTTTGAGCATGCTCCTGTGTGGGTGTAGAAATGTAGCGCAATATAAATGACCATTCTGGACCTATAGTATATATTTATAATGGATTAACTGGGTTTCGCTTCACAATTATTTTCTGTTCCGGGAAGATGGGTAAGTTCTTGTCACTGCTGTTAGACACAAACACAAGCAGACAAACGATTGTGTTATAAAGCTTTCTTCCCAGACAGATAAATATAAGTGTTATCACAAGCAAAAGTTGGTTAATTCAGTTGTCTTCAGTTGAAGAACTTGCTCTATTGAGACGTCCCACACGTGACGATCGTCCCAGGTCTTCGAGGCTGCTCAAGTACCTGACGCAAATAACCCACCGTTAGTGGTTCTGTACAACCTGTCGCCACAAACAGCTCTATCGGCAGTAATGCGATTGGGATCGAGCTCTGGACAGCTTGGATAAAACGCAGTCCTGATTTACGTGTATAAATACATTACGCCTAGCTCGGGACTCGGTATCATCTCACGCACTGCCGGTCGGTGTCGGGGAAGTCGTTTGAGGTGGTACGGAAGGCATGAGATGACGTAGCCAGGATAGTTGGCTGCGGGCACGCCGTGCCTCTGATGTGTATGACATGAAGTGGTGCTGATTAAAGGCATATTGTTATTCTTGAGAGTCTTGTGCGAGACATGTTTCAATGTTCCTGATTATCATCAATGACTTCATTAAACCGAAACGAAAGATGCTGATACTACTGACTCTCACAATAAGCTGTGAGGTCCGGGCCGGACTCAGTCCTAGGGGGATTTCGGTGAAGAGTTCATCAGTTTCTGGGGGCACGGGTGGCCCAGTCGTCTAAGGCGCCGCGATTCGCTGAGCAGAGTTGCGTCCCTTGGGCACGCCAGAAATCATGATTGTGGGTTCGAATCCCGGTTCACCCTAATTATGTTTCTAGGTTTGTCAGCACCATACCCATGCTCGTGGGTTTCACCGAAGTGGTAAATGTCTGAGACCTGCATCACTTCGGGCTTTTACTCCCACATTAAGCTGACACGCCACGATATAACTGGAATACAGTTAAAAACGGCGTTAAACCCAACTCACTCACTCACTCATCAGTTTCTTGGTTGATGGTACACTGATATCTAATATGAATTTTTCAGTCGGACGTCAGTGTTTAATAGTCGAGATAAGAGTATGTTACTCGACATAAGGGTACATTATTCGATATAAGATGACAAGGGTACGTAAGTCAACATCAAGGTACATATAGTCGACATGTAGGTATGTATTGTCGTCACAAGGGTACGTATAGTCGACACGGGGGTTCATGTAGACGACACGTCATAATTTCCAAGAGAACAGGCACAGTCGAAATGATAAAGACGGTATAGATAAACATATAGTCGACACATAGGTATGTACAGGTCCACATGAGATTAGACGAGAAAAGGCGGTAATACAGTGTAATTCAACTGATACGAGAGTGTATTAGTCGACATAGGGTAATTCAGTTGACGCGAGAGCGTGTAAGTCGATATAGGATAATTCAGTCGACACGAGTGTGTATAAGTCGACATAGGATAATTCAGTTGACACGAGTGTGTATGCGTCGACACAGGATAATTCAGTCTACACAAGAGTGTATGCGTCGACATAGGATAATTCAGGCGAGACAGGAGTGTATAAGTCGACACAGAGTAATTCAGTTGACACGAGTGTGTATAAGTCGACATAGGGTAATTCAGTTGACACGAGTGTGTATAAGTCGACATAGAGTAATTCAGTTGACACGAGTGTGTATAAGTCGACATAGGGTAATTCAGTTGACACGAGTGTGTATAAGTCGACATAGGGTAATTCAGTCTACACAAGAGTGTATGCGTCGACATAGGGTAATTCAGTCTACACAAGAGTGTATGCGTCGACATAGGGTAATTCAGTCGACACAGGAGTGTATAAGTCGACATAGAGTAATTCAGTCTACACAAGAGTGTATGCGTCGACATAGGGTAATTCAGTCGACACAGGAGTGTATAAGTCGACACAGAGTAATTCAGTTGACACGAGTGTGTATAAGTCGACACAGGGTAATTCAGTCTACACAAGAGTGTATGCGTCGACATAGGGTAATTCAGTTGACACGAGTGTGTATAAGTCGACACAGGGTAATTCAGTCTACACAAGAGTGTATGCGTCGACATAGGGTAATTCAGTTGACACGAGTGTGTATAAGTCGACATAGGGTAATTCAGTCTACACAAGAGTGTATGCGTCGACATAGGGTAATTCAGTCGACACAGGAGTGTATAAGTCGACATAGAGTAATTCAGTCTACACAAGAGTGTATGCGTCGACATAGGGTAATTCAGTCGACACAGGAGTGTATAAGTCGACACAGAGTAATTCAGTTGACACGAGTGTGTATAAGTCGACACAGGGTAATTCAGTCTACACAAGAGTGTATGCGTCGACATAGGGTAATTCAGTTGACGCGAGAGCGTGTAAGTCGACATAGGATAATTCAGTTGACACGAGAGTGTATAAGTCGACATAGGGTAATTCAGTTGACGCGAGAGTGTATACGTCGACATAGGGTAATTCAGTCGACACAAGAGTGTATAAGTCGACATAGGGTAATTCAGTCGACACAAGAGTGAAAAATTCGACAAGACGGTTCTACAATCCGGATATAACGAGCCTGGATATACGAAACTCATTTCAGATCTGATTTCGGTAATCCTGAGTTGTATTTGAGTGCGCTGCACTGGAAGTCACTGGACTGACAATGCGAGACAATGAACGCACATAGCACCAGATGATGGTTTGCGGTTACTCTGTAGAATTGGATGTAAAGAGATCCGGAAAATAACCGTGATTAAGTATTAGGCCCCATACCCTTTAGTCCCATGGCACCGATCTCCTGAACAAGATCCCACAAGTGTCATTCTATATATAGCATATATAACATAGTCCTCTGCCTAATGATAGAACTAGACCCTCGATACATCATATTTCCTGACCACTAATCCCACTCGTAGTTAGAACTCCCTCCAGCCGACTGTGAGAGGAAGCAGTGTCAGACTGGATCGTGGGTAACTGG